GCCCGGGAGCGGCTGATGCGGGACATCGGGGGGCTGGCGGAGTCGGGGGCGCGTTACACGGAGATGCCCCACGTCATCGAGGTCACCCTCCCCATGCTCTGCAACTACCTGCCCCGCTGGTGGGAGCGCGGCCCCGACACGCAGCCCCAGGGCCCGTGGCCCACCGCCGTCACCGGCCACCACCTCAACGCCCTCCTGGGCAACATCCTCCGCATCGTGGTCAACAACCTGGGCATCGACGAGGCCTCCTGGATGAAGCGCCTGGCAGGTGGGCCTGGGGGGCAGCGTGGGGCTGGTGGACGTGGGTGGTCCCGAGGAGGTGCTGGTGGCCCTGGACAGGTTCTTGGGGTGGTGCTGGTGGACGTGGGTGGCCCCACAGATGGTGTTGGTGGCCCTGGGTGGTCCCAGGGAGGCGCTGGGGTCCCTGGACAGGTTCTTGGGGTGGTGCTGGTGGACGTGGGTGGCCGCACAGATGGTGTTGGTGGCCCTGGGTGGTCCCGAGGAGGTGCTGGTGGCCCTGGACAGGTTCTTGGGGTGATGCTGGTGGACGTGGGTGGTCCCGAGGAGGTGCTGGTGGCCCTGGACAGGTTCTTGGGGTGATGCTGGTGGACGTGGGTGGTCCTGAGGAGGTGCTGGTGGCCCTGGACAGGTTCTTGGGGTGATGCTGGTGGACGTGGGTGGTCCCAGGGAGGTGCTGGTGGCCCTGGGCAGGTATCGTGATGGTTCTGGTGTCCTTAGGTGGTCCCAGGGAGGTGCTGGTGGTCCCAACCTGGTCGCAGGGATGGTGCTGGTGGGCCCAGGAGGTCCCACAGCTGATGCTGGTGGTTCCGGGGAGGTGCTGGGTGCCCTGGGCAGCACTGGACCCATGCTGGTGGTCCCGGGACGGGGCGGGTGGCCCTGGGTGGTCCCGGGGAGGGGTGGGCGTCCCCCAGCTGCGCCCCCCGTCCCCGCAGTGTTCGCCCAGCCCATCGTGAGCAAGGCGAAGCCGGAGCTGCTGCGCTCCCACTTCATCCCCACCATGGAGAAGCTGAAGAAGAGGGCGGGGAAGGTGGTGGCCGAGGAGGAGCAGCTCCGCATGGAGGCCAAGACGGAGGCGGAGGACGCCGAGCTGCTCATCCGCGACGAGTTCTCCGTCCTCTGCCGCGACCTCTACGCGCTCTACCCACTGCTCATCCGCTACGTGGACAACAGCCGGTGAGGGGGGACGGGGGACGCGGCCGTGGGGACGTGAGGGTGCTGAGGAGCATCCCCACGGGATGATGGTCCACCCGTGGTGGAGCCAAGGAGTAGGTGTGGGGCCAACGATGGTGGCCCTGGGGACACCAGGATGCTGAGGAGCATCCCTCGGGGGTGGTGGTCCACCC